GTGAACGGCCGTTCACGGGATTTAGGCCCGGTGACCGGCCGGTCACGGCTAGGTGACCGGTACCGGTCACGTTCACGGGGCAGGCACTGGCTCGTACCACCCCAGGGGCCTCGACCGACTAGCCAAGCGCAAAACGGTGTGTGGCATGCGAAATGTGTTTAAAAAATAGGAAAAAACGGTTTTCCTGCATTTTATTTTCCCCGTTGACAAGGAGCCCGCAATAATGACTGACATCCGTCATTATTACACCGTATCCATTTGATTCCAATACATGTGACCCCGTTAAACAAAGCCAAGCATGGATTCACCCCGAAATTGCGGGCATGTGCGCCCGCCCTTGTGATAGGGAAATGAATACAAGGCCAAATGAGTGGAAACAGGTCCGCCGCTGTGTCCCCGACTCCTTTCCATTTTCAGTAAGGGGTCGAGAATGCCTGAGGTTCAGCGTTTTGCTTGGGAGGAGAACCTCACCCGCTGCTGGCCCGCCGAGTTCTCATATCAGAACGCCTGCATTGTTTTGTGGGCATGCTGTACCAAGTTCTCGGGAATATTGGCGTTTCTTTTGCAAGCCTTGCGCTGTTGGTCGTGTGGCGTCGAGTGTGGACCAGTATCGCGTTAGTGCAGCTCGTTGTCACAGGGCCCAAGGCGCACGGGAGCGTGGGCAGGATGGCTGATAGTCGTGGGTCCAAACTCGGTCACGGCGCACGGGAGGTTGGGCAGGACGGCCGATAGCCGTGCAGCGTTCCCAAGTATGCCGCGACTGAGGAGGAGAGAGCGAGAAGAGGTAACTATTGCAGTGATGGCCATCGCCGGCAGGATGGCTGAGGATGGCCATCGCTGGCAGAGATGGCCGAGGATGGTCGACAACAAAAAATGATGCGCAAACGGAAGAAGGACGAACTACGGGAAGTCTATACCGGCCGTAAGGACATACGATGGGGTGCCTGCTCGTAGCTTCAGTGTGGCGAGGATCACCGTTGGATGGATTTTCGTGATGGCGTGGCGGAGGCCTTCTTCGTTTACGGGGAATCCAATGCGTTTCCACATGTGACATGCCAACTTTCCCGATCGGGAAAGTACGGACGTGGGTCTGCCAAGAGGTACTCATGTCTGTTTCCGCACCTAGGGGTTCGTTCGACTCGTGCCGTCGTTCCACTCATCCTCGGAATTGTTCCCCAAGGACGATTCCTCGGGGCCTTTCGCGGCCAGTTTCATGTATCGACGAGCGGACGCGGAGGCAAAAGTGTTTCAGTTTCTTTTTCTGCATAACATATGTTTTTTTAATATTTTTTTGATTTTTTTCCTTACGTACGGCCCGTACGACCACATGAACCCGTACGTACGGCCGTACATACGTACGAACGGCCCGTATTCGTACGGGGGTCTACATAGGCTGAACGTACATGTACGCGTCCGAAGCAGCAGACACGCCGTCACAGGATTGTCGTCTATGAAACACCCGCAGACGCGTCCGCGGGGTCAAGCTCGGAGGGCGGACGTGATCACGGCCGCCGCGGCTCCGGCCGCTGTTGGGTGCGGCCGCGACTTTCAGGAATTTTATGTGACCTTAGAAATTGTCATGAAAAAAAACAAAAAATATGGGGTTGTAGATCTTTTCGAGATCTAAATTGTGCAATTTTTTATTTTATTTTTTGACTTCGTCTTAGAATTTTAAAAATTCAAAAACTAATTTTCCTGAGGGAAAAGCTGTTTGTTTGTTTTTCCAAAAAAAAAACATGAAACGTATGTGATTTTTTATTTTAAATTCAGTGACGTTTTTGGATATGACCACAAGGCAAAAGTTGTTCAGTATATTTTTCTGCATAACATTTTATTTTTTTTCAGAATTTTTTGAATTCTTTTTTTTTTTTTTTNGATTAGAGGTAGCCGCAAACGCGTTCATTATGTTTGCTCGCGTTCATTGAATGTGCGTTCAACACGTTCAAATCTTGAACGTAAAACGCACGTTCAATGAACGTGCGGATACACAGTGTCTATGATTGATTTTAAGTCTCTTCTTTGCTTTTACGACCAAACTTGGTCTGTACAAGCTGAGTAAATCTGTTGTCTGCGATCCTTTTTTTTTTTAAGTATAAACTGTCGACGACCGTCTACGAAAATAGATAGAAATGTTGATAAAACCATATCTGTTTCCCAGGAGGCTTCATTCTATTGCTCGGGAGCATCACCTGCTGCAAAGCGGGTTCAGCGTCCCCTGAGATACATCATTAACTTGGTTGTCTGCAGCTATGAAACACCCGCGGACGCGTCCGCAGGGTTAAGCTCGGACGGCGGACATGATCACGGTCGCGCGGCTCCGGCCGCGGTTGGGTGCGGCCCCACCTTTCATGAATTTTTTGTGACCCTAAAAAATTATCAAAAAAAAAAAAAAAAAATATGAGGTTGTAGATCTTTTTTAGATCTAAATTGCGCAGTTTTTTATTTTATTTTTTGACTTTGTCTTCGAATTTTAAAAATTCAAAAACTAATTTTCCTGAGGCAAAAGCTGTTTGTTCGTTTTTTTTCCAAACAAAAAACATGAAACGTATGTGATTTTTTATTTTAAATTCAGTAACGTTTTTGGATATGACCACAAGGCAAAAGTTGTTCTGTATATTTTTCAGCATTATATTTTTTTTTTGAGAATTTTTTGATTTTTTTTTTTTTTTTTTTTTTTTTTTTCATGGCCGCGGACCGCGGACACGTCCGCGGGGTTGCGGCCTAGGCCACGGCCGCGGACTTGTCCGCGGATGGCCGCCGCCGAGGGGGATTCATAGATTGTCGTCGTTGTCGTCTTCGCAGGCGAGCTTGATCGTCGACATGTACGCTGTGCACTCAGGTCGTCACTCGCAGCAGCGCTGTTGTGCGGCCCGCCACACGTGGACTCTTCTGCACTTGGCGACGCCCACGTCGACAGTACGAGTTTCGGCGATGGCCATGAACGGGGGGCCGGGACGTGACACATTGAGCAAGGCGGAGAGGACGGCGGTGGCAGCGGTCGTGAACGCCATCCTCTTCTGGTGTCAATTGCAGTGGGGCGAGGGGAGGATGAAAGCGGCCATTCGCGCACGGCGGAAGAGGATGCTGCAGTCCACGAATGTGGAGGGGGAGTACAGTGGTGGCATTTGTGATGCCGTGTTGCAGGTGTGCTACGCCATGGGGTGTGGAGCATTCCCCAGAGCGACGCCCAGGTGGTGGATGAAGCGACAGACAGGCGGGACGTGGGAAGATCTTCGGCAATGCGACGACGCGACGACGGACTACTTCAAGGACAAGCAGCGGCAGCCTCCAAAAGACGTCGGTCATGAAACGCACGTGGACGACGCCAACAGCTAGAAGACAACCGTGGACTTCCAGGAAACGGCGAGGGTCAGCGGCGCAAACGGCCGATCGCAGCTACCAACAAAAGCAGGGTAACGAATTCCGTCGCGGAAGAAACTGCGCAATCGGGAGAGCGGGGGCGGGCTGAAGTATTCGACTCTGCCGACCGTTGGGCGCGTTCCCGCTACTGCTGAAGGGCAAACGCAAGGCAGCCCCTTTTCGACGTCGCGGAGGACGGCAGGCTGCCAAAGGGGACCATTGGCGGAGTATTCCATGACGCCGACCGTTGCCAACTGGAGATATCCATCCACGGGCCGCCAGGAACAGCAATGGACCAGCCGCATCGAAAATTGTCGTCGAGAGAGCTTCCATCGACGCCCCGATTCTTCCGGATGCTCGACCTCCAAGGGACCTCGGGAGGTCCCTTGGGGAACACGTCGAAATGGCTGTAGCCCGAGGAATCCCCGAGGAATCCCCGAGGAGATGTTTTCACATCATTTTTTCATTTTCTTCCCTGCGGATAAGTGGAACGATGAATTCCTCGTGGATTTTACGCGCCCGAGGACTGCCGAACGAGCCCCCTAGACACTTTTGTAGGCAACGTACGACCATTTCCCCGCGGATAAGTGGAACGATGATTCCTCGGGGATTTTACGCGCCCGAGGAGTGTCCAACGAGCCCCCTAGACACTTTTGTAGGCAACGTAAGACCATGTTTTCGGGATGTAGAAGCGTTGCGCATCCTATTGAAAGGAATGCACTGACACCACATTTCTCCCCCTTATTTGTGGGCACTGTACAAAAAAGACGCCGTTATTACTTCCATTCGTCATTTTTTTCAGACTTTCCAAGCGAAAATCCATTGGCACGAAGCTTGGATATCACCCCATGGGTCAAAAGTTGTTGTTATTGACGCTTTGCACCAACAGAAAGTGGCCAACAAAAAAAAAAAAAAACAAAAAAAAAACTTCCTATTGGCCGTCAGCCGGAAAAAACCGCTCGCCCGACTCGTAAACATCGTCACAGTTGATGTGGAGGGCAATCGGCGGCTGTTTTGCGTCACCCCGGGCCACACGGTGATCGAAAGCCCAGCCTCCAAGCGTAACGCTTGGCTAGTCGGTCGAGGGCCAAGGTTAGTGCCGGTATCGCTGTTGGGAAAAAAAAAAAAAAAAAAAAACCTCCCCGCAACGGAACCTTTGTATCCGTTTCCCCCAAACGGGAAAAAAAAGTGCCGCAGGTCCCAGAATCAGTTTTGGTGTCATTTTTGCACCCTGGCTGGGCGGGTAACGGCCGCTGTGTAAAAATGGGGGAAAGTGTTCTGGAGGGTGGAAAAATGATGCGGAAAGTGATTTTGGGGCCTGCAGCACCTTTTACGCCGTTTGGGCAGAAATGGATACAAGGTTTTTTTTTTTTTTTTTTTTTTTTTCCCCACAAGAAATGTTTACAAGTTTTCCACGCGGGGAGGTTTTATGACTTTTCCATTTTTAAACCCCTCTTCTTGCCTCGGGAGTGCCAAGGACCCCAAGCAAGTGTATATAGTGTATATAGCATCAACAACGTGACCAAGAGTCCTATGATGAGCAACACACACGCCGTGACAGCCAACCAATCATTCAGATCATGCCTCAATACACGGCCACAGAAGGGACAAGACAAGAAAACAGACAAAAGAAGAAAGGAAGAAGCAAGAAAGAGAACAAAGATAGCGTACGCAAGGATAAAAAACCAAACTCCCGAACGCGACTGTGTAGAAAAAATCGTTGACGCACAGACGGCATGGACCCGACTAGTTTCGGCCGGCCGCCACTTGCTCTCCTCAGGGGTCTTAGGTCGCGGAAGGTACTGAACTAGTGTCCAAGTCAATTTTTATATCCTGCGCCTATACTGGACGACATACCTAGGTCCTATTAGACATCATACGCCGGGTTCATAGTCAACTGAAACAGACAATCCTTGAACCGCCGTCCTACCGAATCACAAACTTCAACCTGGAAAATGCCGTCTCAGACAAAACGACCAGGTCCGCTGCACTTATCGAATATACCGCCTTGTCAGAACTATACCTCCACCACAACTACGTGTTCATTGCCGTTCAATTTTCCACCCTTGGGACTGTAACCCTCAATTCTTAATAAGCGTGACAAAACCAACCCTCTTGTCAACCCATGGGACTGCAACCCTCCTGTTGAACACACAACATTATCGCCTGCCTTCATGCCAACCCAGGGACTGGCACCCTGCAGCAGCACAAAACCACCTTGAAATCGTCAACCCAGGGACTGACACCCTGCTGATGACTGAAAAAGCGACTTACTCTACGCGACCAACAGTGTGCAAAAATGCACCTTGTTCATAGAAAGGTCCGACATCTTAAAACCTCATTCATGTCAACCCAGGGACAGACACCCTGCTGATGACTTAAAACCTCATTCGTGTTAACCCAGGGACCAACACCCTGCTGATGACTGAAAAAGCAACTGACTCTCCGTGACGAACAGTATCCGAAAAAGTACCTTTTTCTCAACCCAGGGACTGACACCCTGCTGAGAAATCCCGAGTCTCTGCAAACAACAGGATCAAAAATGTGTCTCATTTGTAAGATGGTCCCACTACATTGGTTATCTACTAAGAAGCCGGTCCCAACCAGTGAGGATTGGGATCCACTGGTCCCAACATCGTGCATATTTCTGTGAGAAATTTTTCATAGCACGATCAAAGAACTCATCAGGATAACCCCTCATCCACAACGCATTTTTCAAGGTGAGAAGAAAGTGAAATTCCAGGCCTACGATTAAGACTTGTAAGTTCTGGCGCGGTGCAAGAAGGAGCCAATCATTGCAAACTTCTGTCTACGGCTGGAAAAAGAAGCAAAGTCTTGAATACATTGAAAAACCAACGTTCTTCATTCGTCAACTTACACCGAGAAAGCACATCATCCTCTGGTTCAACCACTCTCACAAAAGATGGATTGTCCAGGAACTTACGCATCCCAACCCCATAGACAGACGGACAACATATATAAGTATCCCCAGGATTATGATCCAAAGGAGAACAAACCAAACCTCGCAGCTTCCCTAAACATGGTTGTACGTCATGGACAGAGTAAGACACCAGACTTGTTACAGAATCATGAAGAAGACAAGGAGCAAGAGCACCGGGATTAAGAAGATCAGAGTTCAAAAGCGGAAACGCTTCAACAGAGTGGAAGGAATCAAAAATCTGCTGTTTAAGACTAAAAACCGGGTTTCGAGCAGACGGTCTAAGAACATTCTTCGAATTTCTCATGCAATCAGGAAAATCATCCGAGGTGCTGAGGCGAAAGGCAACATGTCCACAACAACGGGGAAAAGACTCATCCGACGCGGAACAACTACAATCGAAACTTCCACTTGCTGCAGTTTTTCGAAAGTTGTGAATGAGATCACCCACCGTCCTGTTCCTACACCACACAACACGCATCCTTCGAATAATCATGTCCCTCCATGTCGGCTCTACACCCAACTGCGAAACCAGCCTGGCACATAGTTTCCGAATCTCCGCTTTACAATAACGATCATCATAGGTGATCCGAACAACAAACCGTTGACGAACACGAATCCTGAATCTCACAAAAATAACACGGGACAATATCATACGTAACCTGCTCCTCGTGCGCTTCTCTTGAAAACATCTGATGGCCGAAAAGGCATATATCAATCGCCCAACGTCCCAAAGTTGTAATTCCTGTCTCGTAAAGGGATGACTCAGAAATTTAGTCAAAAGCGGTTTAAGACTGAGAGCCCGCCGAGAGAAACGAACGACAGATTCGAATCGCAAAACAGTACCATCCACCAACCAACCTTTGGAGTTGCGCAATTGATCACGTCTGACAATTGATGAACCGTAACAACGTCGAATGACTTTCCAATTGTCCAAAAGTACTGGTCCACCACGGCACACAACCACAATAGCATCGATACTCCGATCACGACATTCATTCAAGATCCGTAGAAGACTGGAAGAAACAGCACCAAGAGACGAATGAAAGATAACAGGTGAAGCTGCAGACAAAGACACCATACATCTACTCCCCCTCCGCTGCTGTCGTGCACGTTCCCTCTTTCCCAACCTACGTTTCCTCACCCGAGTCACCCTCCTTGGCTTGTCCCTAACATTCAGAGAAGAAGAGAAAAGGCGGATGAAATATTTTTCCGTCAGCTCCAAATCATCCTCCAGACAACAACAGATAGGAATAGCAACATATTTTTCAGCCCCACACCTACGTAGCCATTGATACAGGCGCTCATTACGCTTGCCCTTAGCAATCAAAGAATTATTGCATGCTCTATAAACATGCTCCCTGCATCGAACATCAAGATCCCGCCTCGTGCTTCCTACATACAAATGTCTACACCAAGGGGAAACCAAAACATACACAAGCGGACCTTCCACCTTCGCACCAGACTGCCACCAGTGGAGAATAAAGGGAGAGAGCTTCTTGGCCCAGGAAACCTCACCATACAGAATAAAAGCAATAACGAGCAGACGAAACAAAGAGTCTAAAGATTTTTGACGTAGGAGTTGAGTAGAAGAGGAGCGAATAAGTGAACACAAAGACGCAATTGACCAAAGATCAGCCGCGCTCGGGAGGGACCCTAAGAACTGGCTGAGTCCCTCCCATCGTCCTTACCTTCAGCAAGCGGTTCCCCCGCCACATCATCTGAGATTTCCTCACAGAACGCCTTCTTCCCAAAGGCACGCTCAACTCTCTTCGAAATAATCTCCGTAACAGTCTCCACAAGAGTAGTATATTTAACCCCTTCCTTCATGCAGATTTCCATGACATCATCTTTCTTTAGATTGCGAAGCTCTTTCCTAGCGTCACGAATGAAAGCCTCCCGATCACTGACAATTTCCACCTCATGAACGTTACCGGCCTTCTTCTTACCTCGCACAGTTTGCAGCAATGCACCACCTCCCGTACCCTCCGCTTCATAGAGTCTCTCACAAAAGCTAGACCGCGGAGTGGTCTTCTTCTCTGCTTCCCGTTGAGCCAGCTCTTCTTTGAGTTTCGCAAGCTCCTGCTCAGCTTCCCGTCGGCGATTGAGCTCCTGTAACCTGAGCTCCTTCAGGGCTTCAACTTCCAGATTGTGCAACTGCTTCAGCTGGGTAGGGTCTGCCACAGGCCTCTCCCTGCTCGGAGACCTCCGAGGTGTTGCGACAGGAGGCTTCTGAGCACTGTAGGACGGTGATGAAGCAAAGCGACTGCGTTTGTTTCCCGACTTCAGCGCTTCCCGTTTCCATCGCTCCGCCTCCTGGACCGCCTCACCTTGCTGCTGTTTAAGTACACGTATTTCGGATTCCAAAGCCTCGACCCGCTTGCAAGCACTTACTGCCGACTCCATCTTAGCTTTCATACGTTCCTGCTCCTGCAAGAGCCGAGCTATCAGCCGATCATTGTTGACCGCTGCCTGGCTCGAAGACGCTCCACTTCTATCAACGCCTGACTTCGCTCCCCTCTGCAGACGCTCAACTTGCTCCTTAAGCTTCTCCAACTCGTTGTTATCCGCACCAGTGTTCTTGTTCAAACGAATCATACCGCACACAGCATCGAATCTGGAATTCCATGAATCACACAGCTCCTTCTGAAAGTCCTCCCTTTCCTTTTTCTTTTTGAGACGACGGCCTCCCGCTCATGTTTCAATTTCTCCTCATCTTGCTGCTTGGCCATTACCTTCGCGATCTTCGCATCATACCCAGCCTTGAGTTGCCCAACAGTATCTTCGAGAACTGCTACACGCTGGTTAGTATTGTGCCATCCACTACCTCTCGTGAATTGTGTATTGGTCCCTGGATTATAATTGAGCAGAAGACGAGGCAAGCGAGGAAGAGGAAGAAGAAGAAATCGGGGGAGGGGGTGGGGGAGGCAGGGATGAAGGGGGTGCTGGTAGAGCAAGAATTGGGGCTTGTGGGTTGGAGTTATTGAGAGTCTGCCGATGGGGACACCATCTCACAAAGTGATTGGGATCACCACAGTTATAACATGTGCGCACACTCGCAGACACAGGTACGTTAGCCATATCGAAGTGACGCTTACTTCTATTTACGAAGCCACTCGACCAGTAGTCTAACCCCTACGGTGGTTACTTCGTGGAACAAAGTGTATATAGCATCAACAACGTGACCAAGCGTCCTATGATGAGCAACACACACAACGTGACCAAGCGTCCTATGATGAGCAACACACACGCCGTGACAGCCAACCAATCATTCAGATCATGCCTCAATACACAGCCACAGAAGGGACAAGACAAGAAAACGGACAAAAGAAGAAAGAAAGAAGCAAGAAAGAGAACGAAGATAGCGTACGCAAGGATAAAAAAACAAACTCCCGAACGCGACTGTTGTAGAAAAAATCGTTGACGCACAGACGGCATGGACCCGACTAGTTTCGGTCGGCCTCCACCGGCTCTCCTCAGGGGCTGTCTCTTATACACATCTAGATGTGTATAAGAGACAGAGAACAAAGATAGCGTACGCAAGGATAAAAAACCAAACTCCCGAACGCGACTGTGTAGAAAAAATCGTTGACGCACAGACGGCATGGACCCGACTAGTTTCGGTCGGCCGCCACCGGCTCTCCTCAGGGGTCTTAGGTCGCGGAAGGTACTGAACTAGTGTCCAAGTCAATTTTTATATCCTGCGCCTATACTGGACGACATACCTAGGTCCTATCGGAGCAGGACCTGTCTCTTATACACATCTAGATGTGTATAAGAGACAGATCTACATACATACACATATGTGGATCATTTCTCTTCTTTTCTGGTTTCAATTTCAAGTCCTTCACTCGTTCTTCAACAGATTGCTTCATGAGATTTTATTTACTTCGTATAGCATACATTATACGAAGTTATACGATTTTAAGAATGCGGATCGTTTCTCTTCTTCTTTTCTGGTTTCAATTTCAAGTCCTTCACTCGTTCTTCAACAGATTGCTTCATGAGATTTTATTTAGAGAATAAGAATATCTACATACATACACCTGTCTCTTATACACATCTAGATGTGTATAAGAGACTGGCTATACTGATTGATGGAATAGAAGACGCTCACTATTTCTTGCCGCCTGTCTTTTAAGAATGTGGATCATTTCTCTTCTTTTCTGGTTTCAATTTCAAGTCCTTCACTCGTTCTTCAACAGATTGCTTCATGAGATTTTATTTAGAGAATAAGAATATCTACATACATACACATATGTGGATCATTTCTCTTCTTTTCTGGTTTCAATTTCAAGTCCTTCACTCGTTCTTCAACAGATTGCTTCATGAGATTTTATTTAGAGAATAAGAATATCTACATACATACACATATACATATGTACATATATCGCATCGAAGAAAGGATCAAACAAAGGGTCATGCTTATGCATCACGACTGAAGCAATCAATTAATGAAACTTCTCACTTTAGACAATTTTTATTCAATTCGCAGAGCCTCAAGTAACCCGCCAAATTCATAAATTGCGAGTGAGGGAATCTCACGAAAAGCATGACAAGATACACTCACTCGCCAATTTCCTGAGTTCACACAAAACGCACAATTGCGAGGTCAGACGAGGGCCGTATTATGAACAAAAAAATGAAATACCATAATTATACTACTTCAATCAAACACGGAGCGCTCATTTGCTATCATTAAAAAAATTAAAAAAAAAGAGGAAAAACAGCGCATTCAGTCAAAGCGAGCTATTGAGACTTCATTATTCGTTTTCGTTACATGGACATCGTCGCCTGGATCTTAGATATTCTGGCCCTGCCGGTCAGATCAATCAAGAGCCACACATGCTTTTAGTCTCCAATTGATCACATTCCGGTCGGGATATCATATTTCGAACCGTCGGGGGGGTGTGGGAAGGGGGGGGGGAAGGGGAAGAGAGAAAGACAGAAGGAAAAACAACGAGAGAGAGAGAGAGAGAGAGAGAGAGAGAGAGAGAGAGAGAGAGAGAGAGAGAGAGAGAGAGAGAGAGAGATTAGAAGAAACGGGTCTGCCGATCGATAATTCAATATGAGCGACTCCCTCGCCACTATAGCTGTCAAGGCGATTTCCGACATTCAATTGCAACCCTACGTGACATACATCCAGCGGTCAGACGACTCAGAAAGATAGCAACTTGAATCTATAGCATCTCCAATAGGTCTACACGAAACTCTTTCCACGGTGATCGAGATCTTGAATAATCAATAGGATTACAATCAAGACTAGATGTGGTGGATTGAGGCATAGACAAGTCGACGCATTGTTTTACTCGCCAATAGGACACTCTGAATGCGACATCATATTCTGAATTCCAGCGACCAAGCGAGCGCGACAAAACACAGAGAGAGAGAGAGAGAGAGAGAGA